GAAGTAATTCAATTATCTCCCAGGACAGGGACAAGACTCCATTATGCACATGGTGACACAAAGACAGTAAAACACTTTAAAATACATAAAGTCACATTTGTTACATAACACACAGACATTTAACATATCCCCAGATAGCTCAGGTCTGAGCGCACATTATTAAGCGAATGGCGCTCAGACCACACGAATAATCGCTATGGAGCCAAAGTCTTTACAGTCAGTTTCATACGAATGGGCTCCATGGGATTCCTATCTGGGGTATAACACATTCAAACAAATCTACCAAACCCCAGGCAGAAAAGCACGAATGAAGCTTTTCTGCAGGTAAAAAAGATGTCTTTTAACAGGGGGCCATAGTCCAAAGGCAGCAGGCGAGCAACCAGGCTTCTCCAATGCAATGTGGCAAGATTGGTCTCGTCACAGGGTATATTATTGGGCTGCAGTGTGTAGCGGACCTCCCAACAACCCAACCGGTTGTCCTTGCTCAGCCACTACTTGTCCCTGGAAGGGAATCAGCTATAACACAGAGAGACTCATTTCCCACCCAGTAACTGGACGACAAACAGTCCTGGGGTACAAGAACAACTTTATAGGCCACACTCAGCTTTATACTTTCCCCATGAAGGGGAGGATCACACACAATGACAATGTCTCCTCCCAGGGTCCTCCCCCTCCTGGTGGTCACATAACGGAACCAGAACCCCAATCTCCTGTTCCCGCCACTCAATGCCCCCTCCCAGGGGCCTGTGCGTGTGACAGAAACTCCAGGGTTTCCCACCTCCGGGGACCAGGGGATCATGAGCCTCTGTACATGGGAGTCCCAGCACGGGAAAGCTTCCCGCCTCTGTGACTCCCAGCAACAGAAAGCCCACCAAACCACCATTGTCCCCACCAACATCAGGAGCCCCCAGAATGATGTGTAAAAGGAGGTAAAAGCGCACTCAGTAATACCAAAGAAAGGGGTTACCTGTATTATATACAATTATGATAACCAGCAGTAGATGATCTTGGTACATACTTGAACAGAAACAGTGGATAAAATCTATATAAAGATACAATGAAACAAAGAACACAACATAGTGTAATCTGTAACCAATATAGATAGTGGGTAATTAAAGGCTGAAACCACTCACAATATGTTGAGCCAGTTGGAAGTTGGCTCAAAACTTATCCGGCATATATGTCCCATAAGTAGACATAGATGGAGCTGTATCTTTAAGGAGAGATCTTCAGAATTGCCAGAGCCAGGGATTGGAGCAGAAAAATAAGTTTATTCCCTTAGAAAATTATCTGGTATTTTGTCAAATAAGTGTAGCGGTATTTACCTTACCCGGGGGCCGGCCAAGGTCCTCTCTTCCCGCCACGCACGGCTCTCGAATGAAGGCGGGCACGGACCGCGAGATGCGTTCACATGTCCTGCCTAGCTCTGAGAGTGTGCCGCTCGTCTCGGGCACGCTCTTAAAGGGGCAGTGGGAGCCAAAAAATGCAATGTGCTCCCATTGGCCCCTGTCATCCCACATTCCCCAGACACTCACATTTTGGGGACGTGGATATGACAGGGGCCAATCAAAGTAAAGTTTAGGGTGTTTATACTTACCTCTCCCTTAACTCCCTGCCCTATTGTGGTTTCTGTTTCAGTTCCCTTTAGCGCTTGTTGTGTTCAGTTGTACGTACTTGACCTTGGCTTTGTATCTGACTCCGTTTATCTCTCTATCCCTGTTTTGTCTTGTTTGCCGGCTTCCTGACTACTGTGTACCAGACCTTGGCTAGTTTTTGTTCTCGCAGTTTCTTTGTTCCCTTGACCTAAGCTTGTTCTTGACTCTGTCTATTCTCTGCTATACGGCGAGTCCGGCCATTCTAAGGTCCGGTAAGTCGTATCTGCTATATCTGTCGATTGTTGGACTAAATCTTGCGTGTAGGGGTAAACTACTGTGACATTACGATAGGGCCACCGACCCCGCAGATTTAAGTCAGCAATTGGCTTCTATTGAGGCTAGATTTGCAGAGCAGGATCACCGTATGGATCAGATAGCTCAGGCCCTCCAGACACTCTTATCTAGAACTACTCCGGTAACAGTACCAACTCCTACTGCACCCCTTGTTCCAGATGTATCCACCATGCCTAATGCTTCTGCACATTTAACCCCTCCACCTAGGTATGGAGGGGATGCTAAGTCTTGCAGGGGATTCATTAATCAAGTGGAATTCCACTTTGAGATGTATCCACGTTCCTTTCCCACTGGCAGGTCTAAAGTTGGATTCTTTATGCACCAACTTACTGATAAAGCACTTGAGTGGGCAAATCCTATTTGGGAGGCTAATGGTGCATAATTTCGATAGCTTCCTTACGGCTTTTCGTAGAACCTTTGACACAACTAAAAGGTCAAAGAATGCCGCCAAGGCATTAATGAGAATTAAACAGGGTTCTAGGTCTGTTGCTGATTATGCTATTCAGTTTCATACCCTTGCTTCGCAGGTAGATTGGACCAACAATGGGCTAACTACAGCATTCTTGGAAGGTCTATCTGATACTATATTGGATGAGGTAGCAGCTAGGGATCTTCCTATCCCATTAGAGGACCTTATCGACTATCTTATTTATATAGATAATAGGATTAGTGATAGACTCTATACTAAGAATAGGAATAGACGTTTTGCTACGTTAAATACTCCTAGAGTTGCTAATCCTGAGAGTTCAAAGGTATCAGAGGAAGAACCTATGCAATTAGGGGTTACCAAACTCTCTGATGCTGAAAAATTGTATAGGAGAAAGGAGGAACTTTACCTATACTGTGGTAAGAAGGGTCATATGCTAAAAGAATGTCCCGTGCTTCCGGAAAACTATCGCACCTAAGGCCATATAGGGGACTGGCCTTGGGTGTGATATCTAAGTCCCCAAAATTGCCTCTTAATCGACTACTTCTCCCTGTTTCTCTGCATCTGGAGAATAATTGCATAGCAAGAAACATACTAGCCCTGGTTGATTCCGGGGCAGCTGAGAATTTCATAGACTCTAGATTTGTTAGGAAAAACAAAATACCCATTAGAGAGAAGAAGACACCCATGGCCGTTGAGGTCTACAATTATGGGGAACATAATGGTAGACCATTATGTTCCCCAGTTATCACACATGAAACTGAACCGTTGCATATGTATAAAGGGAAGTTACACTCAGAAACCTTTCGGTTTCAGGTCATCACCTCTCCTTCCTCTCACATTGTGTTACGTTCTCACAATCCCATTTTTGACTGGGAGTTAGGACAAATAGTATCTTGTAGTGAAACCTGCCAAGAGTCTTGTATAATTAAAATCACCCCTTTGAATTCTAATAATGCTCCTACTACTCCTCCTTTGTCTACTGTTATACCTCCTCAGTACAGGTGTCTTAAGTCTGTCTTCGATAAAAGGGAGGCTGAAAAATTACCACGTCATAGACCCTACGATTGTGCTATTTATATATTGCCTGGCACTATACCTCTCAAAGGCAGGGTGTATCCTTTGTCTCCTCAAAAAAATCGTGTCATGGAGGAATATATTAAAGAATGTCTACAAAAGGGATTTATAAGGAGATCCTCTTCTCCGGCAGGGGCAGGGTTCTTCTTTGTGTCGAAGAAGGAGGGTGATGTAAGACCTTGTATTGATTATAGGGGTCTAAATAAAATCACTATAAAATATGCTTACTCTACCATTAATCACGGAATTATTCGACAGGCTTAAACAAGCTACTGTGTTTACTAAATTGGACCTTAGAGGTGCATACAATCTCATACGTATAAAAAATGGCCATAAGTGGAAAACTGCATTCAATACTAGGAGTGGTCATTACGAGTATACTGTGATGCCATTCGGTCTATGTAACGCCCCAGCAGTGTTTCAAGAATTTATTAATGACGTCTTACGAGAGTTCATTCACTCATTTGTGATAGTGTACTTGGACGACATATTAATATATTCAACAGATTTACATACTCATCACATGCATGTTAAAACAGTTTTGAAAACCCTTCTTGTTAATGGTTTTTATTGTAAACTAGAAAAATGTTTATTTGACCAATCCAAAGTACAGTTTTTAGGTTATGTAATTTCTGCTAAAGGTTTTCGTATGGATCCCCAGAAGCTTTCTGCTGTCATGGAATGGCCTCTACCTCAGGGCCTGAAAGCCATTCAGCGTTTTCTTGGGTTTTCTAACTATTATAGACGCTTTATTAAAGGATTTTCTTCTATTGTAGCGCCTATAACACGCATGACTAAAAAGGATGGCAATACTCGTGTCTGGTCCCCAGAGCAGATCTAAAAAATCTACACTGTCCCTACTTACACTATTGGTTAAAGAAATACCCCAATTATTAGAGTTGAGGAATTGATAGAATAACTGCCTGCGCTCGTGGGGTCCCTGGGTGAAACTAGGCAAGGGAAGTGTCTCTTTTCGGGACACAAATGCTCCCCCTGGCCGCCGTCTAAATGAACTGCGCCCGCCCAGTGAAGCACTCATTAATTACTTCCCTTTCGGTTTCACACATGTTGCAAGTTGCCAACATTCTAATTGATTGGTGTAAACACTCCAAGGGGCACTGGGTAGGTCCACGTTCGGGAACCGAACAAGGTGGGAAGCAATCCACGAATGCTCCCCCTAGATGGCGTTCGTCTAACGAACAGGCCGCCACCCAGGGTCCGCAAGCGCCGTGGCTTCCCTTGCGGTTTGTGGTTTTGACACCTTGTTACGAGGTGTGAACATTCTAAGACAACATTCTAAATGAGGTTTCCTGGTGGTCACCATTCGGGAGGCGAACGGTAGTCGTTCGTATTGGATGTAATTAGATGTAATAATGCACTGAGCTGTAATAATATAATAAGCTTGCATAAGACAATGAACTGCAGTGATTGTGGTTAATAACGGTTATTTTTCATTCACTGAGCATCAAGTGGCATTATAGCCACACCTGATCCGCTCAGAAAATTGTAATTTGTAATATAATGTTTGCATTTATTTTATTCCAGGGATGACATGTCAAGCTCGAAGTTCATATGTGGAACACGAGGTCCTCTGGGGATATCGTTTCATGCCTGTGCTAACCTTGGAAGAAGGTTTTTATGAAGTGGATTATGACACCTTTCATAATACCTATGAAACGCCCACTCCCAGCTGCAGTGCCAAGGACCTAGCAGAACAAAATGTAAAAGGTGAAATCTTGCCGATACAACCTGCCAACCACAAGGCCAACCAGACCATGGAAGATGACATTGAGGAAGGGCAGGAAGATGGCATCACACCTGTGGTAGCTAATGGGGACATCAGTAAAATAAAGATAGCAATGACTAAACAAATATAAAAATAATTGGGACATTATAGGATTTCACATCACTACAAGGACAGTGCCTTGTTCTTACAACTTCTTGTGTTAAATATCTGCAGAGAACACTTTGTAACCATTCAAATCTGCTCTGTCAATGCAGAAAGAGGGATGAACCATGTCTTACAATTCTTTGATAAAAAAACAACTGGACACAATCTATCTAACCAGATTTGCGCCCACAGCCGTCTCTCCAAAGGGATGTTAGCAACACCATGGCTGAAGCTGTGGACTGTTTTTTGCTGGTTTTAAACTTTTCTCTCCTCCATTAGTGGAATTTGCAATACTGCAAGTACTTACCCTCCTCCACAAACAATGGTGAATGTGATAGCCATTATGGGTGAAGTGGGGAATTATCTCCATACACATTCCACTCTTGTCGTTCTACAAAACGCTGCCCTTGTTATTTGTCTTTTGTGCTCCGTGGAAAATGTATTTGATAGAAACCAAGAGCAAAGTCATGACAACAATTTTACACTGTCTCACTTTACACTCAGATCTAGATAATGAACACTGTGATAATTTATATTTCTCAATAACATTCAATGACATAACCTCATTTCCTGTATCTTAACGCACAGAAACGCCACCTGATCATAGGACATAAAGTAATAGTTTTTAACACCACTGTAGTATTACTTGCCTGCTTTACAATATTTTGTTGCTAAAGGAAACAGTCTTCACTTCCATTACTGTTTGGTCACTTTTCACACAACTAAAATAACGTATTGGGACATCTTATAAACCGAAATCTAATAACTTCAAAATAAATAGAGCTAAATCAAAAGACATCATCAAATTCAATAGAAATGTAGATAATGCTGAATAAACAAAACAGTGAAATGATTTCCAGTATATCAGACGCCTCAATGATAAAATGACAGCGGACTAACTGATCTGGGTTTAAATGAATTATTCAGACACTTTCTACTGAAAAGGTTTACAATATGTAAAATATCCTCAAAGTCAGAAAATGGTTCCAGAAATGTACAACTCTTTATTTAGAGAGAGACGTTCCTCAGTCATTGACACACACTCACAAAACGTTCTTTGTTACTTGGAATCAATATGTTAATGTTCTTTGCAATTATTATTATTTGCTCTTTTTTAAAGCAACACTGACCCCCACCACAAATAAAATAATCTCTCGGAAATTCCAACACAATTAAAAGATCAGAAGACAAATTAAAACACTTGACAAAGACTGAAAATGCAGAGCTAACTTTTGCCAAGGACCCAGCTCTTTCACTAGCCATAGCTCTGCTCTTTCACTAGCCATCACTCTGCTCTTTCACTAGCCATAGCTCTGCTCTTTCACTAGCCATAACTCTGCTCTTTCACTAGCCATCACTCTGCTCTTTCACTAACCATAGCTCTGCTCTTTCACTAGCCATCACTCTGCTCTTTCACTAGCCGTCACTCTGCTCTTTCATTAGCCATCACTAGGTCTTTCACTAGCCGTCACTTTGCTCTTTCACTAGCCATCGCTCGGCTCTTTCACTAGCCATCGCTCAGCTCTTTCACTAGCCGTCATCGGCTCTTTCACAAGCAGTCACTCGGCTCTTTCACAAGCAGTCACTCTGCTCTTTCACTACCCGTCACTCTGCTCTTTCACAAGCCATCACTCGGCTCTATCACTAGCCATAGCTCTGTTCTTTCACTAGCCATCACTCGGCTCTTTCATTAGCCATAGCTCTGCTCTTTCACTAGCCATCACTCTGCTCTTTCACTAGCCATCACTCTGCTCTTTCAATAGCCGTCACTCTGCTCTTTCACTAGCCATAGCTCTGCTCTTTCACTAGCCGCCACTGTGCTCTCTCACTAGCCGTCACTCTGCTCTTTCAATAGCCATCACTAGGTCTTTCACTAGCCGTCACTCTGCTCTTTCACTAGCCATCACTCTGCTCTTTCACTAACCATAGCTCTGCTCTTTCACTAGCCATAACTCTGCTCTTTCACTAGCCATCACTCAGCTCTTTCACTAGCCATCACTCAGCTCTTTCCACTAGCCATCAATTTATTCTTTCACTAGCCGTCACTCGGCTCTTTCACTAGCCATCACTCTGCTCTTTCACTAGCCATAGCTCTGCTCTTTCACTAACCATAGCTCTGCTCTTTCACTAGCCATCACTCTGCTCTTTCACTAACCATAGCTCTGCTCTTTCACTAACCATAGCTCTGCTCTTTCACTAGCCATCACTCTGCTCTTTCACTAGCCATCACTCTGCTCTTTCACTAGCCATCACTCAGCTCTTTCCACTAGCCATCAATTTGTTCTTTCACTAGCCATCACTCTGCTCTTTCACTAGCCATCACTCTGCTCTTTCACTAGCCATAGCTCTGCTCTTTCACTAGCCATAACTCTGCTCTTTCACTAGCCATAACTCTGCTCTTTCACTAGCCATCACTCTGCTCTTTCACTAGCCGTCACTAGCCATAACTCGGCTCTCTCACTAGCCGTCACTGTGCTCTTTCATTAGCCATCACTAGGTCTTTCACTAGCCGTCACTCTGCTCTTTCACTAGCCATTGCTCGGCTCTTTCACTAGCCATCACTAGGTCTTTCACTAGCCGTCACTCTGCTCTTTCACTAGCCATCACTCTGCTCTTTCAATAGCCATCACTAGGTCTTTCACTAGCCGTCACTCTGCTCTTTCACTAGCCATCACTCTGCTCTTTCACTAACCATAGCTCTGCTCTTTCACTAGCCATAACTCTGCTCTTTCACTAGCCGTCACTAGCCATAACTCGGCTCTTTCACTAGCCATCACTCTGCTCTTTCACTAGCCATAGCTCTGCTCTTTCACTAGCCATAACTCTGCTCTTTCACTAGCCATAGCTCTGCTCTTTCACTAGCCATCACTCTGCTCTTTCACTAGCCGTCACTAGCCATAGCTCTGCTCTTTCACTAGCCATAGCTCTGCTCTTTCACTAGCCATAACTCTGCTCTTTCACTAGCCATAGCTCTGCTCTTTCACTAGCCATCACTCTGCTCTTTCACTAGCCGTCACTAGGTCTTTCACTAGCCGTCACTTTGCTCTTTCACTAGCCATCGCTCGGCTCTTTCACTAGCCATCGCTCAGCTCTTTCACTAGCCGTCACTCGGCTCTTTCACAAGCAGTCACTTGGCTCTTTCACTACCCGTCACTCTGCTCTTTCACAAGCCATCACTCTGCTCTTTCACAAGCCATCACTTGGCTCTATCACTAGCCATCACTCGGCTCTATCACTAGCCATAGCTCTGTTCTTTCACTAGCCATAGCTCTGTTCTTTCACTAGCCATCACTCAGCTCTTTCACTAGCCATCACTCTGCTCTTTCATTAGCCATAGCTCTGCTCTTTCACTAGCCATCACTCTGCTCTTTCACTAGCCATCACTCTGCTCTTTCAATAGCCGTCACTCTGCTCTTTAACTAGCCATAGCTCTGCTCTTTCACTAGCCGCCACTGTGCTCTCTCACTAGCCGTCACTCTGCTCTTTCAATAGCCATCACTAGGTCTTTCACTAGCCGTCACTCGGCTCTTTCACTAGCCGTCACTCTGCTCTTTCACTAACCATAGCTCTGCTCTTTCACTAGCCATAACTCTGCTCTTTCACTAGCCGTCACTAGCCATAACTCGGCTCTTTCACTAGCCATCACTCAGCTCTTTCTCTAGCCATCATTCAGCTCTTTCCACTAGCCATCACTTTGTTCTTTCACTAGCTGTCACTCGGCTCTTTCACTAGCCATCACTCTGCTCTTTCACTAGCCATAGCTCTGCTCTTTCACTAGCCATCACTCTGCTCTTTCACTAGCCATCGCTCGGCTCTTTCACTAGCCATCACTAGGTCTTTCACTAGCCGTCACTCTGCTCTTTCACTAGCCATCACTTTGATCTTTCACTAGCCATCGCTCGGCTCTTTCACTAGCCATAACTCTGCTCTTTCACTAGCCGTCACTCTGCTCTTTCACTAGCCATCACTAAGTCTATCACTAGCCGTCACTAGGTCTTTCACTAGCCGTCACTTTGCTCTTTCACTAGCCATCGCTCGGCTCTTTCACTAGCCATCGCTCGGCTCTTTCACTAGCCATTGCTCGGCTCTTTCACTAGCCATCGCTCAGCTCTTTCACTAGCCGTCACTCGGCTCTTTCACAAGCAGTCACTCGGCTCTTTCACTACCCGTCACTCTGCTCTTTCACAAGCCATCACTCGGCTCTTTCACTAGCCATCACTCTGCTCTTTCATTAGCCATAGCTCTGCTCTTTCACTAGCCATCACTCTGCTCTTTCACTAGCCATCACTCTGCTCTTTCAATAGCCGTCACTCTGCTCTTTCACTAGCCATAGCTCTGCTCTTTCACTAGCCGCCACTGTGCTCTCTCACTAGCCGTCACTCTGCTCTTTCAATAGCCATCACTAGGTCTTTCACTAGCCGTCACTCTGCTCTTTCACTAGCCATCACTCTGCTCTTTCACTAACCATAGCTCTGCTCTTTCACTAGCCATAACTCTGCTCTTTCACTAGCCATCACTCAGCTCTTTCACTAGCCATCACTCAGCTCTTTCCACTAGCCATCAATTTATTCTTTCACTAGCCGTCACTCGGCTCTTTCACTAGCCATCACTCTGCTCTTTCACTAGCCATAGCTCTGCTCTTTCACTAACCATAGCTCTGCTCTTTCACTAGCCATCACTCTGCTCTTTCACTAACCATAGCTCTGCTCTTTCACTAACCATAGCTCTGCTCTTTCACTAGCCGCCACTGTGCTCTCTCACTAGCCGTCACTCTGCTCTTTCAATAGCCATCACTAGGTCTTTCACTAGCCATCACTCTGCTCTTTCACTAGCCATCACTCTGCTCTTTCACTAACCATAGCTCTGCTCTTTCACTAGCCATAACTCGGCTCTTTCACTAGCCATCACTCAGCTCTTTCACTAGCCATCACTCAGGTCTTTCCACTAGCCATCACTTTGTTCTTTCACTAGCCATCACTCGGCTCTTTCACTAGCCATCACTCTGCTCTTTCACTAGCCATAGCTCTGCTCTTTCACTAGCCATCACTCTGCTCTTTCACTAGCCATCGCTCGGCTCTTTCACTAGCCATCGCTAGGTCTTTCACTAGCCGTCACTCTGCTCTTTCACTAGCCATCACTTTGTTCTTTCACTAGCCATCGCTCGGCTCTTTCACTAGCCATCACTAGGTCTTTCACTAGCCGTCACTCTGCTCTTTCACTAGCCATCACTTTGCTCTTTCACTAGCCATCACTCTGCTCTTTCAATAGCCATCACTAGGTCTTTCACTAGCCATAACTCGGCTCTTTCACTAGCCATCACTCTGCTCTTTCACTAACCATAGCTCTTCTCTTTCACTAGTCATAACTCTGCTCTTTCACTAGCCGTCATTAGCCATAACTCTGCTCTCTCACTAGCCGTCACTATGGTCTTTCATTAGCCATCACTAGGTCTTTCACTAGCCGTCACTCTGCTCTTTCACTAGCCATCACTCGGCTCTTTCACTAGCCATAGCTCTGCTCTTTCACTAGCCATCACTCTGCTCTTTCACTAGCCATAACTCTGCTCTCTCACTAGCCATCACTAAGTCTATCACTAGCCGTCACTCTGTCCTTTCACTAGCCGTCACTCTGCTCTTTCATTAGCCATCACTAGGTCTTTCACTAGCCGTCACTCTGCTCTTTCACTAGCCGACACTCTGCTCTTCCATTAGCCATCACTAGCCATCACTCTGCTCTTTCACTAGCCATCACTCATCTCTCTCACTAGCAATCACTCTGCTCTTTCATTAGCCATCACTAGGTCTTTCACTAGCCGTCACTCTGCTCTTTCACTAGCCGTCACTAGCCATCACTCTGCTCTTTCATTAACCATCACTAGGTCTTTGACTAGCCATCACTTGGTCTTTTATTAGCCATCACTCTGCTCTCGCACTAGCCATCACTCGGTAGCCGTCACGCGGCTCTCTCACTAGCCGTTAATCTGCTCACTCACTAGCCGTCACTCTGCTCTCTCACTAGCCGTCACTCAGCTCTTTCACTAGCCATCACTAGGTCTTTCACTAGCCATCACTCTGCTCTTTTATTAGCCATCACTAGGTCTTTCACTAGCCATCACTCGGCTCTCTCACTAGCCGTCACTCAGCTCTTTCTATGGAGGATTCCACGGCCTCGCTCAGTGTTGACGTCAGCTTCTCGCAGATGATGCACCTGATGCTGAAGAGGATCTCATGGAAGAAGATGGCAGTACATGCGAGAGATTGGGTGAGGTAAATTAAAACTAACTTCCCCATCCGCCTCGTGGCCACCACAATACAAGAGGAGCAGTCACCATCTGTGGCTTTTGTAAAATATGCAAAGACCCCAGAAGGTGAAAGAGCCCCAGAAAATAACTGATCTGGGTCGATAATCAAACTCTGTATATTCAGTGGTAAGTTTACCCAGAATTCCCTATGGAATTGGTTCATTTATAGGCAGCGCCTCGAAGGTAGAAACCGTGAGAGAGACGTTCCTGAGTGAAATCAAGGGAGGCCACCACCGGCTCGTTTCACTCACACGGAGTTATCGAATCTCCCATAAAAAGACTGGCAGTCAAAACATATCCCAGGCTTCAACTAATGTACACTGCATGTGTCTTTATGGTATTATTTAAATAATGGATCCACGTTGTTGTAGTTGTAATAAATATGCCAGTAAGTTTTTAGATATTTTTATTAATAACTAGAGTTGAGCAAACCCGAACTATAAAGTTCGGGTTCGTACCGAACATTACGGTTTTTGGACCCCGGACTCGAACACGGACATTTCAGTGTATGTTCGGGTTGGAGTTCAGTGTTCGGCGATTTAATGGCGCGTTTTGAAAGGCTGCAGGGCAGCCAATCAACAATCGTTTGACTCGTGTGCCCTTAGAAGCCATCACAGCCATGCCTACTAATGGCATGGCTGTGATTGGCCAGTGCAGCATGTGAGCTATCTACCAAAAGGCTGAAAGACCTAAATTGGTCTTTCAGCCACATTTACTAATACTAAGTAAAGATTACTTAGTATTAGTAAATTCAGCCTCTACTCGCTGTAACGGCACCCTCAGCATAAAAGTGTTAAACTGCTGTTTAGTAGATCTTCCCTTCCAGAGACACAGGCACAGCTACTGTAGACACCAATCCACCGAACTGGAGAAGCATATGAATGCCATAAACAGCCGAACTGGAACCATAGGAATGCTGTAAACAGCCAAATAGGAAAAACCATACGAATAGGTTTATATTCCTAGCAGTCAAACTGGAACAGCATACAATAAATCCCCCCAAGAACAAGACAAGGCTCCGTGTTGAGGGTCAAGCAGTAAACAGACAGAGCTGTGGGTTTATTGTTCTTATATACACCTTAGTACCACCCACAGGGTTTTGGAACACAACCAATAAACACATAGAATACATTCAGACACTCCCACACAAAATCCTCCCCTCTGCCTGTGATACAATTAACTTACACAATGGGTAATTTAATTAGCACAAGCAGAGAAAT